TTAATCCGAATTTGTCATATGTTATTCTTTATAATTTTGCAAAGTCTCAAGTCCATTAATTCGTGTTTTCTGAATTATTATGTTCCTTAGGATATTTTATGATTTGTCAAGAAACTTTGGTTATAGAAGCAACAATGAGCAATTTGTGCTACTTGAATATGATTAAATTTATACCTTAAACTTCCTGCCATGAAGTTTATCATAACCGCCAAATATTTTTATCGCTTTAATAACGCCTTCCAGCCTATCTAGTATCATATATACTTTTTTTAATCACTCGTAATGGCCACTATAATGCTTCCCTCACATTCACATACCTTTATACGTAGATGAATCAAGGAATATTTAACTATTTATTTTGCTATTATCACTATCATTTATTTCGTGCTTGCTTTTATTTTTCAATTTCCAATTTTGTGGCCTTTCATTATCAACGTGAGGCGGCCCATAGGTGCTTCAATACGTGAAAATACATTATCGACCAGGCCGATACTTATTTCTGGCTCTTCGCCAACTTCTGCTTCCAATTTCTGCTCCACGTTAGTGCCTGCTTATGGGGTGGACTTTGGCGAGTCTCGTTTAAGAGATAACTGGGCACCATTAGAATCTCTTCCTCCTCCAATTCCGCCTCACTCTTCTGCCACTTTGCCCTGCCCGTCTGGAAAACGTGGCAACATACTTAGTGGCCGTCTGCTGCCCGAAAATTTGCCTTCATCTACTGGCCGACTCTCACGCACCGGCCTAACTGGACATATCACGGTATGAAGATTCATCTATATATTGACAAGCTACATCATTTTCACATAACTACAGTTCATTCTAGCCTAGGCCTTATGTAACCAAGGCGGTCATATGTCCTCCTTTGAATCCTTTTAGGTATGTTGCTGAGGCCTAGGCCAGGCCAAAACCACCGTTCACCCTGAGTGAGAATGGACACATGCTGCATTGAAGTCAAACTAAAATCAATCATTTTATTAAATTCAGCGTGTTGAGTGGTTATTGGTGCCTGTAACACATTACAAAAATGTATCTTTTCCTCAGGTTAAATAAAACGAATATGGTGCTCAATTCGTGTACAATTCAATAAAAAGCATCTAATCAGTTTCCCTTTTACTACAAACATTTTTATCATCGGACCGACTAATTTACTGGATGACTACTATAATATTTTGCCTTCTACTAACTTGCTAATTTATTTAAATGCACTCATTTGAGCATAAATATACTGGTCTCGACAAATTTAGCTATCTAAAATGTATCAATTCTTTACTATTACGGAAGTGGTTTCTTAGTCTCTTAGGAGTAAAGAGCAAATACGCAATAAATTACTTACTCGTATAGCTGGCACTCGTCTATCTACATGTTCTATTCAATATTCACTTAAATCAGTATAGCGTAACACGGTTAATCAAAGTCATTAAATCAGCTAACATTGGCCGTCTGTTGTCTAGACTGGACTGTATTTGTAGTCTGATATAAACAGAAATATGATACCCTTCTATGCTCTATTCTACGGGCTGTGGCTCGAATATTCAAGATATTTTTTTAAATAAATAAATACCTATATTTTCAATAGTATTTCATATTACTTCTCTCTAGCTAGCATATAGTTGCCGCATTGTCCTATTTGTGATGTTAAATATAAAAAAGCCACCTACATTACCCATTTTGTGAGTGGAACTGAATGCAGAAGGAAGTTGATTAGGGTCAACGTTTAAATCAACTCATGTTTTAGATTTGCTGCTAATTTAATTGTTACATTAATGGGTTGCGAAGTATCTCCTGAAATAAGCTTGTTGTGAAGATCTTCATTTCGTATTGAAGTGCATTTTAAGAGGTTTATAGGCCAATCTCACCAGAAGACGCCGGCTGATTCACTTTGTACTGCAGCTGTTTGGCCTTAATACGACGTTGAGGTTGTTGCAGTCCACCAGTCATTCATCAACTTTTCGGGAGAAGACGGGTTGAGCTTTTGTTCGTCATATAATTAATGTTTTTGTTTTGAAGATTTGAAGGGCAAGATGGTGTGGCCCCTGGTAACCCAAGTCCACGGTCCGACTTTGGAAATTATTATGCATACAATAGACTCTGGACTAGGTGCGTTCCTCTAACTCTTCCTACCAATATGACCAAGTTGTGAGAACAATGTCAAACAACTTCTATACAACGAGAGTAGACTGCGACCACACGAAAGGCCACACCATCTTGGTCTTCATACCTTCATACCTACATTAGAATTTTACGATTAGATCACTGGGGTCAAACTATTATTTCCTCGTCCTGAAACTTTTCTGTGATGATTTATTCATCTTCTTTCTTCTAAGGCTTTAAATAAATGTGTAATCAGGCTAAAATGAAATATTCCCTACACACTAGAGTCGCCTAAGATGAGGGAAGCCCATATAGTTGAGTTGCCACGACGGTTTAATTGGTCTTTCCTTAGCCTTGTCTCCCGGAAGGCTTAATCATTCAGGCCGGACAGCGGTTTCGATTCCTTAACTATCAGCATTGATATCGGGATTGGAAGCCCGGCCCTGTGAGTCAAGCGACAATGCTTATACTATAAAAAGGGAATAAGGAAATTATTGATAAATTGCATAACTCCTTTTTGTGAAACTATAACATCAAACCTAAAAAGTTTTTAATCTTTACTTTGAATGTGTTTCCAAGTCGGCAGGCCTACAAATAATTTTAATCCCAACTATCTCGCTATCCGATTTCCACTCTTCCGAGCTTATTCCCTCCTCAGACGTCTGTTCTCATAAATTTAACTCATACAAGAGTTCTGACCAAAACTACCTGCAATCAACTTCCATTGATCCTATGCCTACCGTTCATCCATGCTTGAAAAATAAACAGTTTAACTCTCATGGTCGCCTTACAGGACCGTGAAATTAGTAAGCCCAATATTGATTTCTCAGTCACTCTGGTCCAAGTCGCCTGCCAAAAGAATTCTTTATTGCCAATTTCCGTTAAAAGTAGTAGCACCTTCACTTCCACTACTTTTATTCCTACGAATATTGCCTTGGTGGTAAATCAACACCACAAGTTATGCACAAGCCAACAACTCCAGAAGCCAGGCCGGTTTCACTTGTGCGATGGACCTATGATAAGAATTTTCAGAATCCACTTGACTAAACTGGCATCAGCATTGGCAATGATAATGTTGGTAATAGTCTAGGCGGTCTCTCTGCCTCTCACTTGACTACTAATATAACTAGAATCTATTCCACACTAAAGGTGGATCGTTGGCATGAATTTTGAGGTTTTTGTATTCCATTGTCTTTCTTCATAATAGATGCATACGTTTGCACCGTGTACCAGAATTATTTTGCCCTTGCCTTGCTCCTTCCAGGTATAAAAAGTCTGCTCTAATCCGCAAAGCAATGGCTCGTCATGTTTCTTTAATTCATACCAAAATTATTCAGCTGATAAATCAAAATTGAACCATTCATCAACTGCATTCTCAATATTATTCTATTTGTATCGCATATATGATGCACTTGTATACTCATTGTAAGTGTACTTTAAAGAAGTATTTTTAAGTTTCGTTAGTTAAATAACTCAACTCAATTTTCTTATGTAATCATGACATTGAATAAGACAGTTGGGGATTTTAAGTATGGATGTATTTTTCTTGAGCGGTTACTGACTTAATACATTTAGGCTTGGTTCCTATTTAGGAAATTCTTCATTTTGATTGCTTTCATTATTACAACTTCTTAGGGCGATTAAAACAGCTTTTTTATTTTAAAGCGATCACAGTCCTTGACTTTAAATTGGATTTTGTATTGAAAAGCGAGATAATGCTTCCCTTATACAGCTCGTTCTATTGATATCCTATCTCATCTCTTGAAAACATTATATTGAAAAAAGCTAATGCGCTTATATGGCAGTGTTGAACTTATTTTATGACTACAAGCTTTTTTTCAATCTCAAAGATTCTATATATCTTTGCATACAATAATAGGGGAAAGTCTGATTATACATCGGCACAAAATAAGTACGCTTTTTTTGTTTTCCACCTTTTGGCCCCCATGCTGATTCATTTTCCCATCATTCTTTCTGCAATCTCGAAAATAGTTTCATGATTAAAAGCTGCCTTACAGGCACCGGGCATCACGTCCGTTTAGGAATCATTACAAATTCCAATTATCGCAGCCTTAATCCGTCTATGATTAAGAATTTTGCCTTTATATGTAAAGAAAGCTGGTAGTTATCCTTAAAATTATTAGCATTTACAGATGTTAACCAAAGTGAATTTATTTATTTGCAATTCTCTATGAAATTTTGCCTAATATCTTTAAATAAGGTACTTAAAATAAACCTTATATTCATTGTTATCTCGAGCAGTCCTTTTATTCTCAAAGAATACTTCCTAAAGGCAAACTAAAATTTTTGTGAAAATCATTCTTAATTTTTTACTGCTTTGGGAAGTAATCTTTCTGAAAATATTAAGTATTACAACCCTTTCAGCTTTTTATTACTTAAAGATTGAAAAGTTTCATTGAACTACTTTGAATGCATAAATAGATTTATTTTTTGAAGTGGGTTGGCTTCGTTGTCGCGACGTGGTCTTGTCAGGGCGACTTAGTAAAACGCACTTAGTCCAAAGTCGTCTGCCATAGTAGTTGTCATAACTCCAAGCATCAGACAGGGGACTTGGAACATTCTCAAACGTTTCGCCGGCATCGTCATTGGCATCATCAGTGATTTTTGCCATTCTATGCACCAAGCTACGAACTCTTCAAAGAGTTAAGTAAAGTCAATCCTTCGACTAATGATCTGCCTAAAACGGTTACACTATCACTCCTCTTTCTGTCCTGGCATATCTATCTACTGTATACCCTCTTATTCCACTGCCGCCCTATCATAACTTCTCACTTGTTTACATTCCACTCGTCAAAATGTGTGCCCTTTTGTGGCAAATCTAGTGTGGCCTCATCCTACTTGCTATTTACCCCGACCCCTCTCTTTCGATCGGCTGATCCGACTCGGGCCTCCAATCCGGATCCCTTCATTGTCTCGTAGATCCGTTCATTATCTTTCTGGTTGACTGATTTCACTCGGTTCCAGTCCCTGTGTGCATTTCACTCCAGACGCTATTTCTCAAGGGCCTAGAAGCACGCACACTGCCGCCTCACTTAGCAGAGCGCCTAAGCCCTGATTGCCATGCTTGCAGATATCAGGCCTTCCCTTCACGGGTCCTCTCCTTGATTAAACCCATGTTCTAAGCAAACTGTGGACGCCTATCTCTGGTAGCATGCAGCATCTCAAGTGGATTTCTAGTAAATTTTGGGCATAACGCCGATTTTCCGTGACGGTTTGCTTATCCGTTTGCCCAGCTCGCTGACTGTCATGCCCCCAAAGTTGTACTGGTTTATGCACATCACTCACTGACAATGTCTTCGCTTTAATGCCGAAAATCCCTGCCCCGAACTTTCTTCACTGCGAACCCTTTATCTCCGGTTAGCGCTAGATCCTTGATCCAGGCATCTCCTTTTTCCTGGTCTTGCTCTATTCTTCGAAGGTATGAAGACCAAGATGGTGTGGCCTTTTGTGTTGTCTCAGTCTCCTTTCGTTGTATAAAAGTTTTTGACCTTGTTTTTTCAACATGGTCATATTGGTAGGAAGACTTATTGAAACGCACCTAGTCCGGGGTCCATTGTCTGCATGATC